AGTGCAAGGTGCTGCACCTGGGGAGGAAGAACCAGCAGCATACCTACAGGCTGGGGAACTCCCTTGTCATCAGTGCAGAGGCAGAAAAGGATCTTGGAGTCATTATTGATGCCAAAATGAACATGGGCCGACAGTGTGGGGACGCAGTCAGGAAGGCCAACCATACCTTGTCGTGCATCCACAGATGCATCTCAAGCAGGTCCAAGGAGTTGATCCTCCCCCTTTATGTGGCACTGGTCAGGCCTCAGTTGGAGTGCTGCGTCCAGTTCTGGGCGCCGCACTTCAGGAGGGATATGAACAACATGGAGAGGGTTCAGAGGAGGGCCACCCGCATGATCAGGGGGCAGCAGGGCAGGCCCTACAAGGAGAGGCTGAGGGACCTGAACCTGTTCAGCCTCCACAAGAGAAGGCTGAGGGGGGATCTAGTGGCCTGTTACAAACTAGTGAGAGGGGACCAGCAGGCATTGGGGGAGTCCCTGTTCCCCTGAGCATTACCAGGAGTGACTAGAAATAATGGTCACAAGCTGGCAGAGGGTAGAGTCAGACTAGACATCAGGAGGCGCTACTTCACATTCAGGGCGGCTAGGATCTGGAACCAACTTCCAAGAGAAGTGGTGCTGGCTCCTACCCTGGGGGGTTTTAAGAGGAGGCTAGATGAACACCTTGCTGGGGTAGTTTGACCCCAGTGCTCTTTCCTGCAACGGCAGGGGGTCGGACTTGATGATCTGTCAAGGTCACTTGCGACCCTACAAACTATGAAACTGTGACCTCTTGCCTTGAGCAGAATTTGGTGCTTTAGAATTGCCGTGGTGGGGTGGGAGGTGAAATTCAGGAAAATTGTCTCCAATGTGTTCTAATTCAAGGACACTTCAAAGTGACGCTCTAGTTAGAATTACATGATTATATTAGTCAGGGCAGTGGACTGTGACTTGGGTTCCAGTCCCAGATTTGCCACTTGCTGTGTAACTTTGGTTTAGTACAGAGGTTGTCCAACTGGCAGCCCTATATGCCACATGTGAGGCCCCTGCCTGGCCACGATATTATTATGGTGCTATGGTGGTCAGGGGCTCTAGGCTCCTTCTCTCTCTTCTGGCTTCTGCTTCCTGCTCTGGTCCTGGGGCAGAGTGGGACAGTGGAATGCTGGTCATGAAGGAGCCTTTGCTGCCCATGCTTTGCACACAGCCATTACGTGCAGGTAGGAGCAGAGCAAGGTTGTCCAGGCCGCACACATGACTGGCAACAGAGACAGGTTGCATGCAGTGAGGTGGGGAAAAGGGCTGCTCATACAGTAAGGGAGACCCCAGGAGGACCACCACTGCAGCATACAGCCCATGGGGCATGTGACTCCCTACCCTCCAGAAGTTGGACAGCTCTGAGTTAGAGAAATAACATTAATAAAACCAATTCTAAAAATATAGGTTGGGTCACCTGATTTATAAAGCCTGACACTAACTCTCCATCATTAGCTTCAGCACTGAACCAGTGGAACAGACACCTCTACTGTTTAAATGATCTGCTGTATCCTTTCTCCTCCTCCATCACTCTGCAAGTGCCTTTGGGTTTCACCGGGACAATCTCTTCTGAAAAATCTTCAGATTTGCTGCTAGTTTTAAATATTCCCCTATCTGTCTTTGTACCAAA